ACACGGTGAAGGGAATAAGAGGTTGCCCTCTTTCTTACAAATAATTGCAACACATGATTTTCACTCACGAACAATGAATTTATATGTTTACGGTGAAATCAATAAATAGGCCAAACACAATTTGGGCAACGAAAGAAATTTATATGCCTTAACATAAAATAATAAGTCACATCTTACTATCTCATTAGAATGTCAATTAAAAATACTAGATATAATGTTAAATAGGTCTAAAAATATTAGTTTCCAAAATTAAAACCATAATTTGTAATTGATTTTTTTTTTTTTTTTTAAAACTACCCCATTTCACGTCTTTTCACTAAATGCCCTTCCATAAATAGAACTTAATTAAAAAAAGGATGAATATTGTGGCTAATCACCTAAATACAGTTAGAAAACAACGACATTACTACATCGAAAAACAAACTTTGAATCGTTAAAATCTCCCTATATTGATCAATATAGATCTCCTTGGAGAAAGACTTGAGTTATGCATATTTGCTAAAATATTATTGTGCCTTGATATTCAACTTATTTCATGATGGTATATGTGTCTATATATGCAATTCGAAATCCATTTAAAAAAAATGTTTGGCATTTGATGATTAGGTTTTGATAATTTTTGGTGCCTGATTCTAGAGAGAAGATGGTTTGGGCTGGATATTTGGGTTGGAAGATCAAATGACTCCATTTTAGGGATTTTGTGATTAATTTGTCATGTTAAGAGCGTGTTTGTTAGAACATATGTTAAGAGCGCGTTTGTTGGAGTAAATTTAGCTACTAATGAAGAGCCTATATTATTTGGTTAAGTTTTCACATTTCTATTTTACTGTAAAAAAGCACTATTTATGATTAAACAAAAATTGAAAAATATATTCTAAATATTTATTTAAAAATTGGTGTGTGGCTTAATTTTCTCTTTGCGCAAAGAAACATGACAACAAAATGGGACAAAATCTTGTTCTCTAATTGAATTATGATATTTAGTTTAGCGCGAATGGATGTAGCTATTAACACTACAACTTCATCTGAATTCTCGAAAGTTGTTCTTAATCAACAAGAAGTAAGTTTTTACTATTATATTGTATTTATTTGCAGGACTATAATAAATTTAATTTTTAATAACTTATCATAATTTACTTCTATTTGTTCTAAATGTCAGGAAAATGATAACGACTTCAACATATACGATTATACCCAATACTTTACTACTGACCAAGTATGAATAAATCAAATATTAAATTTATGTATTAATTCAACTCTTGTTGCAATTTTTTTAATTATAGTCTTTTTAATATTGATTGTGTAGATATTTCATAGTCGAGAGTCATTATGTAATTGGGTTCGTATGGTTCGAAAGGAACTTGGTTTGGTTGTTGTTATAATACATTCCGAGCGTGGTGGTTATGGACGCAAGCCACGTATACGCTATGGATGTGAGCGTAGTGAAAAATATAAAAAAAAAAAAAAAAAAAGTAAAAATCATTCAGATCATGAACCAAAACGAAAGAGGTATGTTGGAACACATAAGTGTGAATGCCCATTTGATCTAAATGGTGTGAAGTTGTCGACTGAGGACGATTGGATGTTAAAGGTATCGTGCAGACTACATAATCATCCGTTGGCACAACATTTAGAAGGACATCCTTATGTACAAAGATTAACTAATGAAGAGGAGCAGATTTTAATCGATATGTCAAAAAGTTTGGTAAAACATAGGAACATATTGATGACTTTCAAAGAACGGGATCCAAATAATGTTAGCACAATGAAGACTATTTACAATGCACGTTCAAGGCATAGATTGATTGGGAAGGCGGGAAAAATACAAATGCAACAGTTAATGAGCAAGTTAAAAGAACACAATTATATCGAATGGCATAGGTCTCATGAAAGAACGGATGAAGTTAGAGACCTTTTCTTTGCTCATCCGATGTTCGTCAATTTCTTACATGCCTTCTCATGCGTGCTTATAATGGATTGTACTTACAAAACCAATAGGTATTGACATCCTCTTTTTGAGATCATTGGGGTTACTTCAACCCAAATGACATTTTCTGTTGCTTTTGTATTCATGGAAGTCGAAACGGGAAGCAAATTATAGTTGGGCAATGGAAAAGTTGAAAACTTTAATGAATCATGATGTCTTGCCACATGTCATTGTCACAAATAGGGAACTAGCTCTTATTCAATCAATTGAAAAGATTTTTCCTAATGCCAAGAATCTACTATGCACATGGCACATATAATAAAATGTATCGACCAATGCAAAGAAATTTTTTGAGTGAAAAGAAGAATGGGACACTTTCTATAGGAGTTGGAGTGTACTCGTTAAATCTACTACACAGGAGATATATTAACAATTGGCCAAGGCTTTATATTTCCAATTTGAAAAAATTTCGGAGGCATTGGATTATGTTACAAGATCTTGGTTGAGTAAATATAAAGAGAAATTCATTGTTGTTTGAACGAATAAAGTTATGCGCTTTGGTAATGTCAACAAAAACAGGTAAAATGTATAATGCTTATATTTAATTTTAGTTTCAACATTATTAATTTTTTCTTCGACAAACAAATTGTTGTCTGTTTGTCTAATTAAGTAAAATATATTTATATTATTTGTAGAGTTGAGAGTGCACATTCTAAGTTGAAGAAAACACCTTGGATCATCAGAAGGCGATTTTGAAACTTCATGGAAAGTAACACATCACCTATTGGAATTGCAATTTAGTGAGATAAAAGCTTCGTTTGAAGGAAGTAGGAACTTAGTTCAACATAACTTCAAACGTAGCCTGTTTAGGGAGCTGTGCGGTTTTGTGTCCAAGAATGCAATAGATCTTATATCAAGACAGTCAAATGAAGCAAAACATATTGGTTTCGACAAAAAAGTTTGTCATTGTACTCTTAGATCCACACATGGCTTGCCATGTGCATGTGAAATTTCAGAATACATAATTACAGGTCGTCCTATTCCATTGTCAACTGTTCATCCTCATTGGAGAAAATTAAATATTTTGGTTCCATTAAATGATATCTCTTCCAAGTTGAATATTGCAGTTGAATCAGAGAACATTCAAAGATTGTTTGGCGAATGCGACGATACAGGTAAAGTACTTCCTAAATGAAATTACGAGAAATGTATGAACCCTCCAGTACTTCTCTGGTGCCACCTGCGAAGAAAGTTAAAAGCAAGGGCTGATCTTCATCAAAAGTTGATACTTTAACCAAAAGGGCTCCTTCATATTTTGAAATTGTTGACTCAAGTAACGATAATCATTTTCATAGCACTGACAGTTCCGTCAAAGTTCCAAAGAAGGATAAACTTAAAGTTAGGCGATCACGTACGAATACTTTATACCTTTACATAACTTGTTTCCATGATAGAGTCAAAGATTGTATATTTAACATTGTTGATGTTAAGTTCAATGGTCGTTGTGGTTTTAGGGCAATGGCTAGTTCCCTTGGATTAGGAGAGGAGGCTTGGTTATGTATTAGACGTGATCTTATTACCGAAATGAAATGTAATTACGATGCCAATGCAAAACTATATGGCAGCATTGAAAGGGTGAATGAGTTGTTATATATTATGGATTACTTTAATATTCGTGCCCCGTATGATCGATAAATGACAATGCCTGACATGGGCCATTTGATAGCATCTCGTTATGATGTCGTACTTGTCCTTTTATCTCCTATACAATGTTTAACATTCCTGCCATTGCACTCTCAACCTCCTCTACCATTAAATCATAAGACTATATCACTAGGTTTTATGAATGACAATTAGTTTGTTCAGGTATTTTATTTTAATTAATTGACCATATATATCATCAGTGTAAACTTATTGTTACTAATTTGATCTATCACTTGTACAGGTCAACTTGAAGCCTAATTGCCCAATTCCACCTTTGGCATATAATTGGTATAAATATAGAGATGACATTGCTTGTGGATGGGAGAGTACGTATAAAGCCCGAATAGAGACATTCAAAGCGATGATTGGTACTGATATCGCTACGCAGGAGATTTTTAACGTTAATTCTCCATGATTTAGATATTGCGGTTTTGTAGAATTTGTTTCGTTTTGTTGGCAATGTGACGTAAATCCAAATTGTAATTTTTATCCTAAGTTCTTATAGGACATTTCTTAAATTGTTAACGTAATAGGTGAAAACCTTGATGTTTCATTGGATTGACTCTGCTATGACTTTTTTAAAGTTAAATTAGCTACGATACCATTCTTGGTCGAATACCGCTTTATTACTCTAATTTTTGTGATTAAATTCTTTGATTGAAGTCCTAAACGAATAACAATCTGCTTCATGAAAAGAAAACCCATTCATTATTATAACATTTTTATCCATAAAATTATAAGGTTATTGTTGATAAAATTTCTTAATTTTCGCCTAAAAGTGTTTCCAAAATCAAAACTTTGGGGGGTGGTATTTGTTGTGGACTACTTAATACTGTTTCATCTAGCTTTCAATCTATTTTGTTTCTTAAAACACAAAATTATGGTCAGAAAATTGATTTTATGTTGGTATTATCACATCTTTGACTATTTTATTAGTGGAAAAAAATAATTGTTGATAAGTACACTACAATATTTTTTTACGTTTTCCATTTTTTTGTTTTTATTGAATTAGGAGTATAATTGTAAATTTAATGTGGTGTAGTTATTAAAAATATATTTTAATTAAGGTGTGATTATAATGTGGTGGTGTGATTATAATGTGGTGGTGTAATTAAAATTGGTAGTGGTAATATAATTAGCTTCTTTTTGTTTCCCCTATAAAATCGTTTTCAATAATCTATTCCTTCAAATCTAATTTTTTAAATCAATTTTTCAACTATATATTTTATTATTTTTTATCGAAATTTACTAGAATCTAATTTTTAAACAAATTAAACAGGGCTATGAATCTGGACCAGCCGAGAGCCCCGGTTGGGTCAAAAACGGAATGAAGTGATCCATTATAAAGCTAGGGTTTCTGCTACCACTCTCCAACTGCGCCTTATCCTCCTCTTTCCTTTTCCTGCGGCTGTCGTTTTCTTTCACTTCACTTTCTTATCTCGTTTTATCTCAGGTCGAGAATCGAATTCCATTTCTACACAATAATATTCATCCTTATCATTATATCTCTCTCCGATCTGCTGCTTCATGTTTCACAAATTGAATAAAAATTGCTATTTGTGAAATCTTAATTCCTTGGCGACGGTTTTGCTCGATAAGATGTTTTCTGCGGTAATTTATGAAGGGTTTGGCTATCTGAATGAATTGATGGATAAGTTGGAACACTAAAGCTCTGATGCGCAAATTATTGGAAACTGATGAGGTAAGGAAGCTCGTTTTCAAATTTTGTACTATTTTTGCAAGCGGTGCTTTTATGATTTATAGTGGGATGGAATCCTATTTAGAGGAGTTTGATTACCTATTTGAAGGTCTAGGGGAGCAGATTAGTGTGCTCAATTTGGTGGAAAGGCTTGATGGGATAGGTGAAAGATTGCAAATGATTTTGAATTTGGATGAAACCGATGAAGAGAGAATAGTTGAATTATTGGGAATTGAATCAAATAAAAAGAAGTTGAAGCATTGGCGATTCCAATATTTGGTATGGGAGGAATAGGAAAAAAAAGTGATTTGGATTTAATACTTTTAAGTTGACAAAAGTTCTAGTATGTTTAGATGATGTTTGGAAAGAAAAATGAAGAGATTTGGATATACTATGAACTTTGTCATATCTGTTAGTCCTAAAGAATGGGAAGATGTGTCAAAAGTATGAAGAATGGTAGTATTCTTTTAATATTAAAATTCAGCTACCAATATCTTCCTCCTCAATTGCAAAAAATATATTTGCTTACTAATTTATTTTTCCCAAGGACTATGAGTTTGATAAATCCAATCTAGTATATTGTTGGTAAGTTAAACGGTAACCTGCTTTAAGAAGGAATCCATTGCAAAGATGTGGTTTGTATGGGATGGCTATGATGGTCACAGAAACTTTGAAATTGAGGTTTTATGCAAATGGAAGAATTAGATGGTGATTATTTTTAGATAAACTCTTGGCAAGATTATTCATCCAATGGTCAAGTGGCAAATATTCATTTTTGGGATGCACAACATCCTTCATGATTGGATATATGTTGAAAAATATTTCTATAATGGTCCATCACTTGTCATTCATTGATTTATATATGTGACTAGCGGTCTAATCTTATGACCTTTCGCCACTACCCATTTTGAAGAAGTACGTTGTTCAGCCATTCTTCTTTTATTAAGGAGCTTTGCCTGAGTTATTGCCAAAATTATACTGTATTAAAAATGCTATCATTAATTGGCTATGATTCAATATATGAGCTTCCAAGTTTTGTTGGTGGTTATGAGACATTTGGAGCACGAGCTAAATGATCCTCAAAATGTTTCTGATGCACTAAAGCCCCATGAAAATTTATCAAGTCTTGAAATTGATTTTTAGGGGGATTAAAATTATCTGTTTTATTGGGAATTTATCGTTATCCAAGTTAACAAACAAGTTTTAATGGTTGTAATAAGTGCACGAGTTTTCCACATTAGGGAAACTAGCTTTACCCAAAGACTTGAACATATGACATGCTAAGGAGAGTTTAGCAGTTGTCAAAAGGTGTCCTCAGCTTGGTGTTCTTCCTGCTATTAGTTTTCTTCATATAGAGGATTGTGAAGCTCTGGAGTTCATTTGTATATCAGCAATTGATGGGTACGTATTCCATCCATGAGCTCATTTCATTTCTGTAATTTCTGTAAAGCAGTTCATTTTGCTACCTACAAATTTCTTTTTCGTTTCATACAACATTAGTTTTGAGATTTTATGTCTCTACCTGACTTAATATCATTGCATTTCGTAGCCTGGGATAAGTTTAGACATTTAAATTAAGAATCCTTTCATTTTAAATTTGAATTGAATTTTGGCAAAACTTAATTCGAAGTTGTCAAATCCAGTATTAATAATGTTCTCAATGATGCTTTATATCTGTTAAATGTATGCTTCTATTCCCTAGAGCATATGTGAACATTATTTAGCCCTTGTTTGTGCCCCATTTTTTCAAAAATTTATTTTTTCAAAATTCATTTTCAACCACACATTCTCCAATAAAATAATTTTACATGTAAATAAAAAAAAAATTCTTATTTTCTAACCACATATTCTCCGAAAATTCACTATACAAAAACATATTTTCTCTTCAAAATGGGGCTCAAATAAGGGCTTACATTGGTTGGCTAAGCAACGAATAAAATTTGACTATCAATTCCAGTTGCCATTGCATTTTTTCTTTCCATATTTTTTTTTTCTCATCCTCTGTATCAAATGGTTTGGTTTTAGTTTCTTCTTGTTATCAATGCATCAGTTCATTTTTTTAGTTGTATAATATATAGACTGTGCTACTATTTTAATATGGAAATCCGTATCTATTTTCATTGACTTGAAATCTTATATTAAAATCTGTGGCTGATCCTAGATTTTTCGGTATAAGCTTTTGGTGTAGAATGAAATTCAAGTCACAATAATTATTTCAATGGCCTTGTAGCCATCCGATTAACTCTTCCAACAATCCTCCTTTTTTTTTTTGAACTGATGTTTGCAGTATATGGACTCGCATAAATAGAAACTAGAGCCTTCTGAATGATTAGAGTGTAGGTGAACTCTCGTATGGCTTAAGAAAGAGAAACAAAAGGAGCCTTTTAAATTTTCCTAAAAGTGAAGACTGGACAATTTCACTCTGATAATATGCTCACATTAGTTTGTATGCTAATATTCATGAGTGATTATAAATTTTCTCTGTTGAGTTGCATATTGACCAGAGTGACTCTTGTTCAGGAAAATCTAATAAAGCTTGCTTCTGAGAATTCAGAGGCCTTGAATTCTGATCGAACGGAAGATCGCCTTCTAGCTGCTGTGCCCAGAACAGAAACTTGGTTGTGTCCCTGCGCACATCTTTCTTCCTCTTTTTAAGTTTTTTTTAGCCAAGCAAGAGAGGTCACGAGGTCTTGGCTCGGCTGATTTAGCACATTCTGAACATTTTGGTAACAATGCTTTTGATATATCGTCAATGTCGTTTTCCTGGTTTGGTCATCCAAGTCTCTCATCTCATTTGTTCGGATCCTCGTAAAGGCATTCTCCTTATTTGGCACAGCTTGTTGTATAACTTTAGTAGTTACCCTGTGGGACAACTAGGATAAAGGTGAATGGGAAGATGGTATGTTGGAGCCAGAATCGTGGAGAATCGTCTAGGACGCCGCAAAGTCAATTTTCAAATGAATTTGCCGGTCTAAATGACATACCGATACCTGAAGATGTTCACATTCACAGTCAGGGAAGCCACAATCCAATTGATTTGGATGATATTAATGTTCCCGAAGTGGAACATAAAAATGAAGATCAGCAATTAAGTATCCCAGATGCGAGGGGAAAGCGAAAGGCCAAGAAACAAGCAAAATGTTGGGATCACTTTAAGTTGATTTCAACGAGAAAATTTGTTAATGGCCTTGCAGAATCTAAAGCAGTATGTAAAACTGCCAACAAAGATTGGCATGACAAAAAGGAATTAGTACCACTCATCTCAACCGCCACTACAAATCATGTACAGCCAGACATGGACTTCTTCCAACTGGTCAAACACAATTGCAATTTGGCAGTTCAAGCGTCGGTTCTACAACTTTACCCCTATTCACGTGGGTGTATTCGGAGGACGGTACTCGAACCGAAATGGCGAAATTTGTTGCCGTCACTGAGTCACCTCTGGCTATTGCAGACAACCAACACTTCTTCTCGTTTGTGAAAGAATATCTACAATCGAGGTATGTTGGGATAAGTCGAAACACTCTTCGTGCCGATACAATAAATTATTTCAATAATTCAAAACAACAATTAATTATGGATTTGCAACAATATGAGGGTGTTATATCTTTAACTTCTGATATATGGGAAAGGGTTAATAAAAGAGTATATATAGCTGCAATTGCACACTATATAGACTCACTTTGGTGCATGCATAAGAAAATTATTGCTTTTAGAATTTTTGAATTTCCTCACAATGCTAATAATATATATAATGCTATTATGAGTATTGTTAGAGAATATCACTGTGAGACTAAAAATTCGATCTTTTACTTTTGATAATGTTAGTGCCTAGTGTTAATAAGGTAGTCGTCGATAAATTGTATAGAACACTTCAACCTAATTTTGGTGGATATTTGTTTCATATTTGTTGTGTGTGTCATATCTTGAATTTAATTGTGCAAGATGGTTTAAAACATATAAATGATGAATTTCAAAGGATTAAGAATACATTAGTATATATTACGATCTCTCCTAGTAAAAAACAAACATTTGAAGATTTTTTGTGCCGAATTAGGGGTGACGATTGCTAAAACATTTGTTAGCGACGTAGGTCATAGATGGAACTCTACATACTTGCAATTAAAATCATGTGAATGTTTCGAAAATTTAATAACTGACTTTTATAACAATAGACATGTTAGAAGTGATGACGATGGTATGTTAAATGAATCCGATTGGATTTTAGCTTTGAAAGTTAAACGATTTTTGACATCTTTTTATGAGATCACAAAGATTGTATCCGGCGTTTATTATTCCACAAGCTATATGGTACTTGAACGCCTTTATATAATTGCAAGAACATTCCATAAATATAAAAATGATCCTGCTTTTAGTGAAATTTAATTGCTATGGAATTAAAGTTTAGAAAATATTGGAAATAACTGCCTATGTTATTTCCTTTAGCATGCGTAATGGACTCTAATATAATATTTCGGGAACTAAATACGTAATTGATCAAATCAATAAAGTTTTAATACTTGATACACCTATCACATATAAGAATTTAGAGCAAACATTATGTGGAATGTATGATTTATATGCGGAAAGAATGGGTGCGAATGTTAGTCGGGTACCCTCTGCTGCACTTACTCCTTCTGCTGAAACTGAAGAAGATGCTGCGGAAATAATGAGTTTATTTCAGGGCATTAATACATTTAGATATGATGTAACTGCAATGTGTTCATCTAGTGCCATGTCCTCTACATCTGCATCTCATCAAACATCGGTCGAAACTCAAAATGCGATGCCTGTCGAATTAATTGATTATTTCAATCATAATATGCTAACAGACAGAACAATTAAAAAAACTTCAGAAGAAGTAATTGAATTCTGGCGAAAGTATGAAAGACGTTGGCCAATTGTTTCTGTAATTGCGAAAGATTTATTGACACCTCTGGTTAGCACTGTTGTTTCGGAGTCTACTTTTAGTGTAGGTAAAAGGGTTTTGACTGATGTCAGGAGCCGACTGAAAGAAAATATTTTGGAAGCGTTAATGTGTATGAAGGATTGGAAGGACGCTCATTTTCGACTACAAGATAAATACGCTGAAATTGCATGTCGTTAGGTAAGTGATATTTGATTTAATTATATTAATCAAATTTTTTTATTTTTTAATCGTTAAATTTAATTTTCTTTAAAAACTTGTACACATTACGACAAGTTGTTCGTGTACAATTTTTAACTCCGCCTACTTAAAATTGAAGTAGCCGGTCCCAAGTCCGGATAAAGGAAAAGGGTTTACATTTTATTAACTTTAAAAAGAAATCAAAAAAATATATTTTTTGTAAATGTATTTCAAAAAATAATTCGTTTTCATTATATAAATATTTTATAGTTTATAAAAAGTATTACAAATTACAATATGATATAAAAATATAAAATAAAAACTTGTTTTCATTAAATTATTTGTATTTTTGAACACTTTTTATTTTTAAAACTCTATTCTTTATTAACTTTAAAAAGAAATCAAAAAAATATATTTTTTGTAAATGTATTTTAAAAAATAATTCGTTTTCATTATATAAATATTTTATACTTTATAAAAAGTATTACAAATTATAATATGATATAAATAAAAAAAATAAAAACTTGTTTTCGTTAAATTATTTATAATTTTTTACACTTTTTATTTTTAAAACTCTATTCTTTATTAAAAAAAAAAAAAAGGTGAGCCCACGAGCCTGGACGAGCCACGAGCTCATGGGCCGAGCCGAGCCCAAGCTCGGCTCACCACGAGCACGAGCCGAGCTCGCGGCGGCTCGGCCCATTGCCGACCCTATCTATACCTAACTATTAATCCGAATGTACTTAAATCTACATAATCAAGACTTGTTGAAGTAAATACAGCGATTCTCACAGATTAAAAGTTGTGGCATCAAACTCCATTTGATATTCTTAAGTTGGGTCAATTAAGACACTCCATCTCGACGCATTTCTGCTAGCTAAAGTCTATAGCTCATCTCTTTCTATGGGCGATATAACGGGTTCTCACTTTGGAGGTTGATTATCCTTATCCCATCTCAATTCATTGAATGTGTTCAGGATTGTAAATAGTGTAGAAAAGGAGGATTTTTGTTAGTGGGCAAATTGGTTATTCTTAGATCAAAAAAATCTTCAGTAAAATCCTCAAAAGGATAGTAGACAAAACTGTCACATTGTGCCGGCTCAAAACTAGCAAGCATAACTTGGCGAGTAATGTGTATTAAATACTCAATGACGTCTTCTATTTTGAGGCCACGGTTCTTGGACTTGAAGAGAATTTGATGTTTCATTCAAGTTGGTTAGGATCGAGAATTCAAACAAGAATTCTGCTACACGTACAGGGATTCTTCACGGGACTTTTTTCACATACAACACATGTAGAAACAATATTGACAGATGAAAAAAATGAAAAAAAAAAAAAAAATACTTACAAACAGGATTGTGACACATCAAGTTCCTATAAGGAACCTGTTAAAAATTCCCAGTACTTTAAGAAAAATTCTTCAAACAAACTAGCAATGGACACATCACACTCAATTAAAGTATAAAGTAACATTATTTAGTACCACTGATATTGAATACCAATTTAGGTGACAGCACTAGTGTAATTAAACTACAGGTTCATTTAAATACAATAAATTATGACTCATTTAATAGGACCTTTTTAACTTTTAAATTAGTGTTTAACATCACCGATGTTAAATAGTGTTAACGTGTTGACTTTTTTTTCTTAAATGAAATTTTCCTTTTAATTCTTCTTATGTGCACTTCTCATTTAAATTATTTTGATCGCTTTCGTGGGGTTAATGGTGTATCAAAAAATAATTAAATAAATTTCAAACAAAAAATAACGAAGTTACGCGCTACATTCATATTGACTAATTTCTTCATTAACAATTTCATTTGGCATAGATTTTACAATCATACTACTTATACAAAAAAATTTACAATCCTAATTGACAATACACATTTAACAACACCACAGTCATCTATTATAAAAATTATTTTTTAAATCAATGGTGCAGGTTTTGACAATATTAATGTTGTCAAGCACAATTGTCATTAACAATTGTACAAAATACAAATAGCTTTATTCTAGATTTTAAGGATTTGGAGTGAAGAATGCTCTTTGTATTAAGCTCCTGTTTGATTCTCATTTCTTAAAAATTAATATTTATTTTGAACTACGCATTTTATGGAACGTATAGGCTTTATCACGTTTTCAACCATACATTTTATTAACTTTTATAAAATTCAACTAAAAATTTGATTTTTAGCTCAACCAAACAAGGCTAAGCCCCTGTTTGGTAGGGATTAAAATATAAATTTTAACTTGAGCTAAAGTCAACAATTAATTTTAATTAAATATTTTATGGGATTCACGGCATTTTAACTACATATTTCATCAATTTTTAACGAAATTTACCAAAAATCGTTACTACCAAACAAGGGCTAAATATGTTCCCATTCGTCTTCTCCTTGGCTTCAGTTGCCCTATTTAATGCTTTAGCTCCAACTCCCATCTTCGTTTCAAATTCACAATTTGCACAAATCGAATTATGGAGTACATAGCAGCAATACTACATTACTTAGGATTCATTTAGAACTTCCCAACTTTGAAAGAAACAATTAACGACGCTAACTATATAAAAAGCACCAATATTGGTTAGAAAGTTGTGAAAATATCAAATTGGAATAGTAAATGTAGAAAAAAATATATATACACAATTAAAAGCAAGCATCTTCTATTTTTCAATATTAACTTAAAACTACGAGGTATGTGTATTAGTCACCATTAGAAGAACTTAAAAGCAAAACTAAGAAAGAAATGATTTTATATTAACAAAAAATTTACTTGATTGTGGACAATATTACAAGTTCAAATACATGTG